TGCTGTAACAGAAATGCCACAAATGGGTGGCTTTAAAGAATAGAGATTTATTTTCTCACAGTTCAGGAGACTAGAAGTCCAAATTCAGGGCACCAGCTCAAGGCGAAGGCTCTCTCTCTGTCAGCTCTGGGAGAATTTCTTTGCCTCCTTTAGCTTCTGTAGCCCTGGTATTCCTTTGTTTGTTGCTGGGTGGAAACCCCAGGTTCTGCTCAGTGTGACTTGTTCTAGCCAGTAAACAAGAGGCTGAGGTGGGAGATCAAAAAGACGCCTTTATTTCATTGCACAAGGAAAGGAGCAGTCAGGGTTGTTGCCTCCAAGACTGCTCACAGGCAGCTTGGGGAGGTGGGCTTTTACAGAGAGCAGACAAGGAAATGCAAATTCATCATGAATATTCAGGATTGACCTCCACACAGGCGCTCAGAGCTTGGGGATGTGACTAGGCATTTTCTTTAGACAAGGGTCCGATTCTCTGGGATGGAGGAAGAGGTTGATTTTCCTTCATTAGCATGTTAATTAGCCTGGTTGAGGCCATATATGGCTCATTCTGTGGTTATCTTGTCAAAGATGATTTCAGAAGAATGTGTGGCTTATTCTGCTCAGTGTAGGAGGCTAAGCCAGAGCAGGTGTTTCTTAGAAGGGCTGGGCTCTGAGGCGGCCTGCCTCAGGTTCCTTGGCGATCTTCAGGTGGCAGTTATCCCCATGAGTCAGAATCGACTCGACGGCACTGGGTTTGTTTTTGTTTTTGACCCCCCTCTACCCCTCAGTTTGTGTGCACTTCTGTGTCTAATCTGCTCTATAACCCAGAAGTGATTAGGTTTAGGACACACCCGATACTGGTATGGTTTCATTAACATAAAAAAGACAACCTTATTTCCAGACAGGATTATATCCACAGGTATAAGGGTTAGGATTCCAAAACATAATTTTAGGGGACACAATTCAATCCATAACATTCTACTCTTTGGCCCCCTTAAATTTATGTCCCCACATGCAAAAACATACTCATCCGGTCACATCATCCCAAAAGTCTTATCCCATTCCAGCATCAACTCCAAGTCTAAGATCTCATCTTCTAAACCATCTAAATCAAGTATGTGTGAGACTATGGGTGTGTTCCATCCAGGGGCAAAACTCCTCTTCATCTGTGGACCTGTGAAACCTAGAATACAAGTTATCTGCTTCCAAAGTACAATGGTGGGATAGGCACAAGGTAGACATTCCCATTACAAATGGGAAAAGTTGCAAAGAAGGGGTCATGGGTACCAAGCAAGTCCACAGCCCAGCAGAGTAAATTTCATTAGCTCTCAAAGCTTCAAAATAATTTTCTGTACTCCAGGACCATCTGGCCAATGACCCCTTAGCCCTAGGCATCAGCCCCATCTTCCATACCTGCTAGGACTAAAATTCTTCTCCCTTGGCTTTGGGTGGCCCCATTCTCCTGGTCCACCTGAGTAGTGACTCCAGCCCCTTGGCCTCAGATGTCCCCATTCTCCTGGCCAATGGGCATGACAGCCTCGCTCCCTCTACTTTGGGTGTGGACCCATTTTCTTGGCCCACTTGAACAGCAGTCCCACCCTCTGGAACCAAGGTGGTGGTGATTGAAGTTCTTGAAACCTATGAGGTGGTGGTTCCACCATTTGAAATTGAGGCAGCTCTGCCTCCCCCCTCCCCTGACCTCCTTCCAGCAACTCTGTTGATTTCCGAACTACTCCCAGGAAAATGGCTTCCTTTTCTTGGAGGACAACAGATGTTTGCATTGGCCCATTTCCTGCCGTAAAATTCTAGAAGTCAGACTGCTTTTCTTCATTTAGTTCTCTGTCTCTTTTGGTCTAAATTGACGGGATATCTGCTGTGGTGGTTGATCAGATCTATTAGTCACAGGCTGATGTCTTTAGCAAAAGATTGTACAGCCACACTTTTGGTGAAAGTTCCAGGACACATTTCCTTAATTTGTACTACAGAATTTTCCAAATCTTTATAAGTTCTGGTTTCATTTTTAAGTGTATCTCTTTCATCTTGAATTTTTACTCTAAGTGGCAAGGAGAAACCACACTGCCCTTTCCAAATTTTGCTTAGAAATCTCCTCAGCCAAATATCTGAGTTCATCACTTACAAGTTCTCCTTTTCACCAAACATTTGAACATAGTTCAGACAAGTTCTTTGCCACTTTATAAAAAGGTTTATCCTTCCAGTGTATAATAATATGTTCATCATTTTCTCTTAAAGTCTCACCAGAAGCACATTTAGTGCCCACATTTCTAGAAACAATCTGTTCCTGGCAATAGAAGCTTTCCACATAGCCCTCAGTTCTTTCTGAGCACGTATCAGAATCACCCTTAATGTCGATAATTCTACCAACGGTCTCTTCAAGGCAGTTTAGGCTCTTAACTATGTTACTATTTAGGCACCCTATTTCTTGGTGCCAAATTCTGTCTTAATTTCCTGGTGCAGCTGTAACAGAAATACCACAAGTGGGTGGCTTTAACAAATAATTTGTTTTCTCATAGTTCGAGAAGCTAGAAGTCTAAATTCAGGGCACTGGCTGTAGGAGAAGGCTATCTGTAGATTCTGGGAGAAGAGTCTTGCCTCTTTCAGCTTAACAGTAGCCCTGGTGTTCCTTGGTTCCTTGTCAATATTCATGTGCCATCTATCTTCCTGTTTGTGCTTCCTTCTGTGTCTAATCTGCCCTTTTTATAACTCAGAAGTGGTTAAGTTTAAGACACACCCTACACTAATATGGTCTCATTAACGTAACACAGAAATCCCTATTCCCAAAAGGGATCACATCCACAGATAATGGAGTTAGGATTCCAACACATATTTTTGGGGCACACAATTCAATCCATAACAGTGCCTGAAAAGGAACAGGCATTTGATAGATAGTTCTATCTTTTCCCTGAAAATACTCAATGTGCGCAATGTTAGTTTTTTTGTTTTTGTTTTTTAACTTTAACTCACTGGATTAGTTATTTTCTCCTTTCAGCATCAGTATGTGCCACCAACAAAGTATTGTTAAAAAGTCCTATTGAATTGGACATCAATACATTTGGAATGTTTATCTATTTCTAAAATGAGTAGGGAGAAGGTTTGCTAAGTGAGACTGGGGAAAAGGTGAATGAATGCATATGAAGCATTATTAGATCCTGAAGTCTGATGGGAATGGTGAGCATTAAGAACCTTGAAAGCTGAGTATAATTTCAGTAAGTAGAAAGGAGAGGGTTTTGCATTAAAAATCATTGAGGTAGGTGAGTGTAATGCCTATTTTTGGGAAAATGAAGACACTTTGGCTCATTCATGTAGGAGAAATAGTTGTGAATTACCAGGAGAAGAGGTCAGAGAAGATGCATTAGGGCCAGATTATAGAAAGTCTTCAGTTACAAGCTAAGGAGCTTAATCTAACTCCCTAGCTAAAAAATTTAATCTGAATGGCTAAAGGAGAAGTCAAATTTCTCAAAATGAATGATGTTATATCTTAAAATAGGACTGAGGTGCCAAGTCAGAACACATAGTTACCTGAGCAAAAGGGACAGGGATATAATAGTTAACCACACTTATTTACTAGATATTGATTATCCCTGTTTCCACAGGCTTGTTGTTTTTCCTAGGTGTTGTTGAAGCAGTTCCGACTCATAGTGACCCTACGTACAACAGAACAAAACACTGCCCAGTCCTGCGCCATCCTCATAATTGTTGCTATGCTTGGGCCCATCGTTGCAGCCACTGAGTCAATCCATCTGGTTGAGGGTGTTCATCTCTTTGGCTGACCCTTTACTTTACCAAGCATGATGTCCTTCTCCAGGGACTGGTCCCTCCTGATAACATGTCCGAAGTACATGAGACAAAGTTTCACCATCCTTGCTTCTAAGGAGCATTCTGGCTGTACTTCTTCCAAGACAAATTTGTTAATTCTTCAGGCAGTCTATGATATATTCAATATTCTTTGCCAACACCATAATTCAAAGTCATCAGTTCTTCTTCGGTCTTATTTATCGTCCATCTTTTGCATGAATATGAGACAACTGAAAATACCATGGCTTGGGTCAGGTGCACCTTAGTCCTCAAAGTGACATCTTTGCTTTTTAACACTTTAAAGAGGTCTTTTGCAACAGATTTGCCCACTGCAATATGTCGTTTGATTTCTTGACTGTTGCTTCCATGGGCATTGATTGTGGATCCAAGTAAAATGAAATCCTTGACAACTTCAATGTTTTCTCCATTTATCATGATGTTGCTTATTGGTCCAGTTGTGAGGATTTTTGTTTTCTTTATGTTGAAGTGTAATCCATACTGAAGGCCGTAGTCTTTGATTTTCATCAGTAATTGCTTCAAGTCCTCTTCACGTTCAGCAAGCAAGGTTGTATCATCCGCATAATGCAGGTTGTTAACGAGCTTTCTTCTAATCCTGATGCTGTGTTCTTCTTCATATAGTCCAGCTTCTGGGATTAATTGCTCAACATACAGACTGAATAAGTGTGGTGGAAGGATACAACCCTGACACATACCTTTCCTGATTTTAAACCACACAGTATCCCTTTGTTCTGTTCAAACGACTACCTCTTGGTCTATGTACAGTTTCCTCATGAGCACAATTAAGTGTTCTGGAGTTCCATTCTTCCACAGGCTTAATTATGGTGAATTCATAAGAACAAGGCTAAGAAATACTTAGGCTAAAAATAACTGAGTGGAAAAAATTTTTATACCCCTTGGAAAACAAAAACATTTTTCATGACTCCTGGCTATGTAAGTATATATATTTTTGTGCTATCTTTTTACCTCCATTTATTATGTTATTCTACTTCCACTACTACATATAGAACTGAAAACATCCATTAAATAAAATAAAATTAATTAGAAAATGAAGCCATTAAATGTACTTTTGAATGTTTTCTTCATTATCCTTTGTAGTTGTTGAGCGCATAACTTATTTATTAGTAAGCGGTATAGCTAGAATCCCTGCCCTGTCTTTATAGATGTAATACCAGTGGCTCCGTTCTTTAGTAAGTAGAATGCATCAGATATAGCATTAAAATATGCAAATAAAATATCAACTTTCTGCCTTTAATCAGCTGCCTTTGCCCTGTCTCCAATATTCTGTCTCTTGTCCACTCCCCATTTAGTCTTCATACTGAGACTATTAATATATAGTATCACAAATCCTATGGTAAAACAAGGACTTTGTTATCTACTTGATCTAATTTTTCTTACCAGGACCAAAACACAAAGGGGTGTGCTGCCAAATATAAATTCTACCTAGAGAACCATGCTGCAAGAAAATTTCTGTTTTTATTGTATTTTTAGGGAGCCTCGTTATTACATGTTTTCATTGGCATTGTGCCTGTGTTAATATACTTTTCCATTAAAATTCATAATGTAAAAGCAGTTTTTAATTTGATACTAAAAATTATCATCTTAGTAAAATTAATTTAGGCTGGTATGATTTTTGTATAGTACATTATTTCTTTACATTCAAAGAAAAAAATCTGAATCCAAGCTTCGATCACTATTATGGTATAGCCTACATTTTTTAATATGTTATTTGGGGAACTACATTTAAAAACATATATATGTGTGTGTGTACATATATATATGTGTATACATATATATATATATGTATACACACACACACACACACACACGTTTACTCTTTTAGACAGTTTTAAAACAAAACTTTTATTTAAAGTCTCCTAAATTCTATTTCCCTATTCCTGTAGAGTTCTGTAGAGTAGTGATGTGTTGGTAGGTTGTGTTAATGTTGGTCCCTGGAATAAGGTTTTCATCTTCTCCTTCAATCAAAGAGTCCCACTGATCAAAATCTTTCTGAAGTCCTGTAAAATATAAGTGTGAATAAGCATGTCAAATTTTTGAAAGCATTAAACAGCTGAGTGCCTCTAGGTGGCACTATAGAATCACAAATTACACAAATGCACAGTGATTGCAGAGCCAAGGTATTCTGTGTCAGCTGTCAAGTTATCAGCTGCATCTGAATCAGAGATGGGATTGAGGCCCGCTGCTATCAGTATCCCTGGCAGAGAAGTTCAAACCCAGTCTTCACAGAAAGACTATATATATATATAAACAGGTCGGCTTGCTTTCTGTGATAATTGTGTGCTGTTATTGTTGCTGTTAGGTTCCCTTGAGTAGATTTTGACTCACAGTGACCCCATGTGACAGAGTAGCACTGCCCCATAGCATTTTCTAGACTGTAATCTTTATGGAAGTAGATCACCAGGTCCTTCTTCCTTGGAGCCACTGGGTGGGTTCGAACCTTCAACCTTTTGGTTTGCAGCCAAATGCTTAAAGGTTGTGCCTCCTGGGCTCCTTATAAAGCAGCAAAAATAAATCTCTCAAATTTTTGTTTTCAAGCTGATTTACTGCTATGTTAAATTGTAAAGAATTAGAGATGGCTGAAAATGGGATCAATGATGTGTTAAGATAGTTTTTTCCTGAACATCATCTGATTTATGTCATGAAAGAATATTAATCTCTTACCTAAATGCTTTTGTAAGAATGCTAATGAGGCTTTGTTGCTAAGATCAAGAGCTACATTTGAATCTATATCTCCTTTTAATTTGAATATGCATCCAATTACTTGGCCAGTTGCAAAAGTGAAGTCATCAAAATTCTGATGGACTGAACCCCTAAAAGAGAAATGAGACATTTACAAATCACATTGTTTGATAAAATTATTTTTGTAGTTAGGGTGCAGGAGAGATACCAGCCTGAATGGCCTATTTACTGAAGACTAAAAAATATCAAGGAGTCAAAAATTATAGATTTGATCAAATTAGATGTATTTCAGGGTCACAGGCTATTCATTTAGAGGCTCTAAAGTATATTCATCTTGCCCTCTAGAAAACAATTCTAGATGAAATGATTCCAGTTTTTAGGGAGCTGGAATACTTTCAATTTGAATAGATGGAATGTGTTAAGGGGCCCTGAACTCAGAGCCAATGCCTGCCTCTTCACCACCATCACTTACCTGATATCTCTTTGATACTAGACAAATCATTTTGGATTGAAGCCTTGGATTCAACATGTTTCAAAAACAAACAAACCAACAACATTTTTTTCCCTTGTATTATTTAAACTGTAAGCACCTTATAAATATCACTCACACAGCTCTCTAAATTCATCGACAACCTAACATTAAATAGAATGGCATTTTTTAGTGCTCATTTTCTACTCCCTCTCAGACATTTGACATTTGATGACTTTCTTGGTTGGTTTGTTTTCTCTTCGTGTCCTTGACATTGCAACTTCCCTTCTGCCTCCAACTACTCCATGCTCTTCACTGGCTCTTCACTCACTCCCATCTGCTAACTGTAGGCATTCCTCAAGATTCTATTCTCAGGTCAATTCTTTTCTCATTTTGCAATCTCATCTACTCCAAAGGTTTCATCTATGACATCATAGCAAATCTATACATTTCCGGTCTGGGGCTTGACAACTCTATGCAGATTTCCCAGTCTCAAGTTAAGAAATCCTAATGTTAGAACACAACATTTTCCTAGCCATACCAAGTGCAATCCTTTCTCTTTACTTTTGCGCCTTTTATGAGCAAATCACCATTCTTTTAGTCATCTAAGCTCAAAACAGAGCCACCTGACTCTCTCTCCCTCTTCCCCACATACCAATCAAAATTTGACTGTCAGCAGCATAAAGAAGGTAAATAGGGTAATGGGAGAGCCAGCAGCAGAAGCCTGGGTGCCACCAGCAGTCAAGGAATAGCCTGAGGAGAAGGGAAGTGTGGAAAAGTGAAGGAGCAGTCTAAATGATAAAGGAAGCAAGAAAGAGTAGGGTCCTGTTAGCCAAGGGAAGAGGAACAGGGGTAATCAACAATGTCAAATGGATGCAGAGTGGAAGACTGAGACTCCAAAGAGGCTGCTGGGTGTGGCATGCAACATCTTTGTGTCCTTGCAGGGACAGTTTCAGTAGACCGGCGGGGGCTCAAGACCCTAGGCTGCAGGAGTCAAAGAATGACTGGAAGCAGGGACATGAAATATTAAATACAGGCTATTCTTACAAGGAGTCTAGCAAGGAAGGAAAGAAAAAAAATAAAGAGCCTACCAAGAAAGTAGGGTTGAGGAAAGGTTATGTGTTTTCAATTATTTGTGTTTTAGAATTAGACTTGCACATACAAACAGGACAAATTAAAGTCTTTACCTGAAATACCTAGACCCTTCGTCACCATCTACCTAAACTCTCTTGATCCTTCAGAGGCCCAGTTCTAGTCCTATCTCTTCCAGGAAGCCTGACCACCTCAGCTGGAATAGCCCCTCCATTCTCTGACCCTATAGTGTTTATTCCCTATGTTTATGTACTTCCTTCCTGCTGCCCCCTTTTTCCTCTTCTGAATAAACTAGATTTCAGAGAGAAGAGGAATGCACTCTATCTTTGTTTTTAAATAGTGAGTTTGAAATCCTACTGAAGAGTTCTTCTTCACATCCAGGATATAAGCATATTGCCAACACTCAATGGACCCCAATTAAGCTTTTGAGAATTTATAAATTCATATTTTTTCTCAACGAGTAAGTACATTTCACGTCTCAACAGCTGATCTGCTTTTTCCTTGAATTCCTAGCCTAGCCTAATGACAGAATTGCTGGCACCTCCCTTTGCCCCCCCACAAAAAAAGTGTGGATGTGTTCTATATTCAGATCAAAGTAGCAGGTATCCTAAGGCAAATTTTAATTAACAGTATGTACATACTATGTACATAAACACTACTCGAAACATTTTCGTTTTAAAAAGAGCACGTCTAAATGCACTTAGAAATTGAGATTATCTAATATTCTCCCTTGTTGAAAGCCTAAATGATTAATTTAACACTTCTATAATATTTGTCAAATGAGATCTGTTGATGTTTATCCAAGTTTGAAGTTTCTGTTCCAGATGATGAAATAAGTCACTTATCAATACTTACCTGATTGTAATCATTTTTCTTTCTCTATCAGGTAAATATAATTTTTTTATTTTTATGATATTAGCAGGAAACTGGAATTGTTCAGAGTTGATAAAAAAGAGGGGTTGAGGAATTCTGGAATAAACTTCATCACCGAGTGGAAACATCCATGCATCCAAGGCAATACCACATCTGTAGATATTTGTTAGCAATCATAAAAGAAGGCTAGTTAAACAGTGACTGACATATGAGACCTCCTAAAAATGCTAGGATTAACAGACATTGACTATACCAGTTTATTATGAGTTATCTCACTGGGTTTAAGAGCTATTATACCTTAATGTATAGAAAGGGAATATGATTAGCTCTATAAGACAGCAGACCTGGAATTACATAATTACTTTCTTCAGGAGAATTTAGGAATTAAACCTGTCGCTGTTGAGTCAATTCTGACTCATGGTGACCTCATGTGTTACAGAGTTGAACTGCTCCACAGGGTTTTCTTGGCTGTAATCTTTACAGAAGCAGATCACCAGGCCTTTTCTTCCACAGTGCTGCTGGGTGGGTTTGAACTGCCAACCTTTAGGTTAGTAGTTGAGTGCAAACCATTTGCACAACCCAGGGATCTATATTTAGGAATTACAACTTTTAAAAAGATATAATACCTTTATGAATTTTTATTATTCATTTTTTATATTGTTTTCAAAATAAAACTTAAAAATAATAATTTCTTCAAAACTGTGGGGTGTCTGAAAAAGTATAATAAATGCACTATTTCCCCTGCAGTTCCAGATATTCTGGATGCTCACTAGTATATTTATTGTACCTTTTGTAGAGTAACAGTTGGGCACATTGCTTTATATTTAGAGCTACCTGAAAAAATATCTGGAGACTGAAGAAAAACATTTTCAGCATATCATTTGAAAATGTAACTTTCTGTTTAAAAGAAAGTTTATCATATGTTTCCTGATCTTGTGGACTAAATGGATGAAAGAAAAAAATTCCCTTATACTGAAACAGATTTTAAGGACTGTGAAATGAATTTTCACAAATGATCCTGCCCACTTTCTATATGGTTGGCTCTACATGATCTCATCAGTGTGGAATGAAGTGATTCAAGGAAAAAAAAAACATTTCTGCAAGTTAGGAGACCGGGGTCTGGTCCCAACTCCTATCCAAATAACTGTGAATTTTAGGCCCAGTTCCATTTTAAAGATTGAGAAACATCTAATAAAAAATGACTTGCCTATTGGGGAAGTCCTAGAAATACTATTAGATGGAAATATTATTATCGTAATTATTATGTCAAAAATATATATATATAAAGATAAAATTCCAAATGAAAATGTTAAGCCCTTGGAACAGATAAGTAAGAATGATGAGGGGAATCATGCGAGGGGAGAGAGTTTTTAATAGCAGCAGAAGTAGACAGTTTCTGCTCAGGACAGTTTGTGTAGAGTACTTAGGGAGGCAAAGGAAGAGACTTGTAAAACCCAAATGACCCCTTCCCCACTTAGAATTTGATTATATATATACATCTATCTCACGTGTGTAATCACTCCTCCCCCCCCCCCCACCAGTTCACTATTCTCTCACTTTATGATACCCTGTTCTCTTACCTGAATCTCTGGTCTTCACTAAGAGCCTGAATAACTGTTGCTCCACCAAAAGAATGTCCAATCATTGCTACTTTATTCCTGTCAATAGAGTCCTATGTGAAAAAGCATAATATAAATTCATAACTATCTCACAGGGTGCTAGAAAAATAGACTAAATGATTTTGTGCATGTCTAAGTACCTTGAATTTTTCTTATAAAAGAGAAAAAATCCCTACATACATATAAGTGTGTGTGTGTGTACGTTGAGGATTCGTAAAAATGCAGAAATGAATTAAATGGTTCCCCTAGTCACCCACACTTGAAACTTCAACATCAATGCCGACTTCTGCATCTCCCTACCCCATGTTTATTAATATGTTCATTCCATGAGTATTTGTTGAGCACCTGCTCTGTCCCAGGCCACTGTAGTCTCATTTTCAATGAGCTCACAATCTATTAAGGAAGAAAGAGATACAAGTGCATGCAAATATGATACAATGGTGCCAAGGAAAACATATATGATAAATATCTAATCCAGTCCAGGATGAGCACTGGGGTCCGGGAAAGCTTCTTGGTGGATAAGATGACTGACTTGAATCTCAGATGTTAAGCAGGAGTTAGTCAGGGGGAAGTGCGTACAGGGTGCAAAGGCAAGGAGATAGGAGACAGTGATCAGCTGAGGGATAACAAACTCTTCAATGTGTCTGGAGAACAGACCATCTTATGTTCAAACTAAAGCACTTCTAGTTCCCTCTCCTCCCTATTCTCCTCTCAATCCCCCTACACGTTTCTGATTCTTTGCTAATGCTGTCTACTCCGCTTGATATTCTTCCACCCCCTCCCACATTCTGTCCAACACTTTTTACCAATTTTTCAAGATCAAGCTCTAAAACATTCATAAGGCTTCCAAGGAATTACAATTCAAGTATTGTATTAAGTTGAATTATTAATTAATATATTATTAATCATCTTAATATAGTATTAAGTTGAATCATATGAAACTGCTATTTTTATAGGTGAAAACTGATTAACTATTGTCAATTTCACATATAGTTCAAACTAATGAGTTCCTCATTATTGTAATACTTTACTTGTACTTTTGTGTGTGTGTGTGCCCCTTTATCATGCTACACCTTGTATTATAACAGAAAAGCAGACACTAAACACTGAAGAACTATAGGTCAAGGGGGAAATGGCTTTTTTAAAGCTCACCTTCAGTTGTTTCACATCAAACTCTAAATCTAATGCATTCTTGATTGGCCTTCCATGATCAAGGTCAAGAATCAAATTGAGTGCCTGGGAACACTCTTTTGCTCTTTGCCGTACCTAAGTATAATTAATAGAAGGAAATGACAAAGTAAAAAGTTGTAACTCTTACTTTAAAGTTTGTATAGAGAACGCATATGGGGAAAGCAAGTGGTTGACTATAAACTGGAAATATCTAAATCAAAGTGAACAGAATACCACCTAGCATAATGACTCAGCCACTAGCTTTGGAGCTGGGTATACCTTAGTCCAAATCTTGCCTCTGTTACTGTGTGAACTTCAGATTATTTACTTAACCTCTCTGAGCTTCCATTTATTGTATAATAATGCCTACCTCAATGAAATGCGGGTAAGATTAAATGTGATAACATAGGTAAGGCACTCACTAGAGAGCTTGGCACAAAGGTGGCAGCCAACAGTCCCTGAGACAGACACTGGTATATTTACTATGTTGTTACTGATAAAACAGGTAAGCACAAAGAGACTTACCTTGTCCAAGAAGATTCACCCCACTGCTAAGTGATGGAGCCAGGATTCAAACTTAGAAAGTCGAATTCTAAGGTCTGTTCTCTTAATACTACTCTATGCCCACTCTTTGAAAGGAAGTCTTTTTTACATCACTTTGGTGCACAGTCTAAAAGATTATTTTTTTGTACTTTTGTACTTCTAAAATAAGAAGTTCTAAAGCAAAAAAAAAAAAAAAAAAAATGAATATTCACTGTTATTTTCCAGGATTTTTGTGTTTGCCTGTTTTTACTATGAACCAGATACTTCATTAAGGATATTTTATTACTCAGAAAATCTTCTGACAGATCTTTTGGGAATGAGAAGTGGGAGATCTAGGAGCATAGGTTGCTACATATAAAATGAAATGAGCAAATGGCATCATTTTGCACATGCTTTTGGTCACCAAACTGCCTCTCCTCTCACTGAAATGTACCTGCTCATTTCGTACAGCTGCCTCCTCCTCATCTCGTTTTAGGGTTTTAAAATAGAGCCAAGACTTGTTCCCTTTCACTGCAGCAGACTCGTCCTTGAAATAGTAAGTTGCAGATGCAGATCCATCTCTGTAATACAAATAGAATTAATTACTGATGTACTTGCTCTTTCCCTTCCTCATGTCACCTGTGTTCCTCATCTGCATCCTTGACTCAACTTCCCTCTGATCTTTCTAATTGACCTTTCTTCTTCCACTCTATTTTTTTTTTTTTTTTAAATCCAAAAGCCTCCCAAAGGAATTCTAAAAAAAGGCTTTAATGTGGTGGGTAATCTCAACTCATTCTATACTCACAATGATGGAAGACGCTATTCGCCATGTTGAAAACTCAGCTCCAAATTTCAATGCTTTCACTTGTAGCTGTGTAACCTTGGACCAATTACTCACCCTTGTTCAACTTCACTTTCCTCCTCTTTAAAACAGTGATAATAGTAATTATTTGATAGGGTTGTTACGAAGATAAAAGGCAATGGGTATAAAAACACTCAGCATAGCACATGGCCCACAATATGCAATCTAGAAATACAGCTGTTTTTAATTTTTGACAATCTAACATAATTTCTCTTTTTCCTCTTCATATAATCATAGTTAACAGTTCTGTCAACATTTTTAATAAAACTTTATGAAATTTAGAAGTATGGTTATGTGCATTAACATTCCCTTTATTTGGCTAAAGAGCCCAGCTACATACCAGATGACGTACCTGTGTTCTATGGCAGCAACTATAAACCCGTGAGATGCGAGGTCATTGCCAATAGCAGAATAAATTGTCCTTCAAAACAAAGAGAAGGAAATATTCAACTACCATTCACATTGTATGAAAAAGCATGACCACACGGCTGGGTTCGTAATACAACTAGCAACATGGAGACCATCACCTCCCTGTAATAATGCCCTGGGGTACAGAGGTTCTCAAGGTGGCGGGGGGTGCTATTTGGCAATGTCTAGAGACATTTTTATTATCATGACTGGGAGAGAGTGCTACTGGCATCTAGTGAGTAGAGGGATGATGCTAAACAGCCTACAATGAACAGGACAACTCTGTACAACAAAAAATTATCTGATGCAAAATGTCAATAGTACCAAGGCTATACCTTTTACAGTTCTGGGTTTTATTTTAGCTCTGCCACTTACCAGCTGTATAACTTTAGGTAATTCTGATTTTACTGAATTTTGTCCTTGCCTGTAAAATGGGGCTAATAAGGCTTTTGTTTTAGGGTGGTTGTAAGGTTTTGATAAGATAATGCATGTAATAGGGCCGTGCAGCATGGTGATTAAGAGAATGGCACCTGCAGTCTAACCACCTAGTTTGATCCACTACTTCCCAGCTGTGTATTTAGAGCTAGTCACTTATCTTTTCTATGCCTTGGCTTCCTTATCTGTAAAACAGTGATACTATAATAGAATGGTACCTCACAGGATTACCAAAGGATTAAGTGATTTAATACATCTTCAATGCTTATAACTATGTCTGAAACAGGGTAAATACATGTTAGCTGTCATTTAAATGATTGGACAGGATAAGATTTCTGGTTAAAGAATCATGTGCTAAGCAACTGCATTTATACTCTCTTTCATGTCTTCGTTTTGTACAATCTTTTTCTCATATCATGCATTACATAGGAAATGTCCACAGAGAATCAAAAGGAGGTGGATAGGAATTATGTATTCTACTGTTAAAGATACAGGACCTTTTCAGGGACCGGAAATAGTCTAGTATAGGGATTGGCAATTTTTTTTTCTGTAAAGGGCCACAGAGTAAATACTTTTGGCTCTATGGGCCATAGTGTCTTTGTCATAACTACTCCACTCTGCTGTTATAGCACAAAAGCAGCCATAAATAATGCTAAAAATGAATAGGTGTGGCTGTGTTCCAATAAAACTACAGAAACAGAAAGCAGGCTGGATTTGGCCCTAGGGCTGTAATTTGATAATCACTGGTCTAGTATAAATCAAATAACTAGCTAGACCACAATTAAAGGGCTGAATATAATTCCTTACTTCAGGTGATACTCAACTTCTTCTCAGCTAAAAACTACCATTTATTTTCTGAAAGTCTTACGATCCCCTGAGGTGGAAGAAAGGGCGGCAGTTGAAAAGACAGTAGGAGAAAGTGTGGTGGCCGTGAAAATGTACTTCTCAGATAACCTGCTGTAGACAGCATAGTTGACTTAAGACTCCACCCAGCTCTAGCCCCTCCAGATCCACCAGAATGTTTAAGGCAAAGCTAAGCTTCCTGTGGGTTCCTCCCAGCCAGTGACTGAGCACAGGGTGGGTGCTAACATAGGTCCATTTCCGTGAGACTTGGGACTCATTTGATGAGTAACTTTGGCGCAAACACTCCCTCCACTGGCCTGGCCCAAACTTTCATAGAACTGTGCCTCAGTCTGAGACAGTTATTACCTAATCCTTCTCCCTTCCCTATCTCCCTCACAGATGTCCATCCTACATCATGGTCTGAAGGTTCTCCTTGTCTTTTTTTGTTCTCTTCCCTCTATCCTTCACAGGCTTTTCCCTCAATAAATGTCTTTCACAGTTAATCCAATCTTAGTGTCTGCTATTCAGAAGACTTGAACTAGCACAGAGGATAATTTTTAGAGCGTAGATACTATAATATAGGACAGCAACCAAAATTGCAGCACCCTCTCTCCTCTGTTATGAGTCTAATCATCATGAGCTGGAGGGAGGGAACGAACCATATTGTACCCTGACTGGGTCGGGTTAGGACTGATCAGTGGACCAAAGCCAACGCTTGGGGAATCCCAACCTCTCTGGGACAGGGGCCAGCATGACACTCCAAAACCTGCTGTTTATTTACTGGGAAAAAAAATGTATTCAGCCATTGATACCTAGAGGCTAAAACTGTTTAGCCTCTCAAACATTACCTGAATGCTCCAAGACCATGAGAAAAAACAATTAGTGGATATTTTTCACCAGTCCTCAGAGGGGAATTCCACTTTGCTGGAGTTGTCATTGAGCCTAAACAACATAGGAGATTATAGTTAGTGTTTCCTCTGTCTTGAATGTTGCTAGTTATTTTAACGTATCTCTTTAGCATAAAATCCTGACCCATGGACCAAGCGGGATTCATACCAGGTATGCAAGGATGGTTCAACATTAGAAAATCAATCAATGTAATACATGACATATTTAAAACAAAAAACTCACATGATCATCTCAACAGATGCAGAAAAGGTATTTGATAAAGACCAACACCCATTCTTCATAGAAACTCTCAATAAAACAGGAATAGAAGGGAAATTCCTCAGCATAATAAAGGGCATCTATACAAAACCAACAGCCAACATCATTTTCAACAGAGAGGCTGAAAGCATTCCCCATGAGAATGAGAACAAGAGAAGGATCCCTTTATCACCACTCCTATTTAACATTGTGCTGGAAGTCCTAGTTAGAGCAGTAAGGCAAGAAAAAGAAATAAAGGGTGTCATGGTTTGAATTATGTCCCCCCAAAAATATGTGTATCAATTTGGCTAGGCCATGATTCCTGGTACTGT